TCCTCCTCCTCCTCCTCTTCCTCTTCTTCTTCTTGATGTTTTTTATTAAAATACATAGGTACATAGATATCATTTCATTTTACAGAGTTTCTAAAACTAATATCAGAATAAACCAATATATTACTTAAACTGCATCAATAAACTAATATTTCTTCTTATTACAGTGTTAGTGTTATCAATGCCAGATTCTTCATTTCTTGCATACTATTCTATATGTTCTTTATCTGGTTATATAAATTAAAAAGCTATTAGCAATCAAACCTATTTTTACCCTTGTTTTACAAGAAAATACTATCATGTTGTCTTTGGTGTATCACAATCAGAGTTCACCCTTGTCTTATTTTGTGGTTAATTATGTGTATATTAGGTAAAGGTTTCCCTTGCTCGTAAGCCAGTTGAATCCGACTCTAGGGATGTGGTGCTCATCTCCATTTCCAAGCCGAAGAGCCAGCGCTGTCCGAACACATTTCCGTGGTCATGTGGCTGGCATGACTAAACACTGAGGCGCATGGAACGCTGTTACCTTCCCACCGAAGTGGTACCTATTTCATAGACTCATAGAATGTTAGAGCTGGAAGGGACCTTGCAGGTCATCTAGTCCAACCCCCTGCCCTCTGCAAGAGCATAGCTGAAAGATAGCCCTACATACCTACAACATACCAGAAAGATGGCTGTCCAGCCTCCACTCAAAAACGTCCAGCGAAGAAGCATCCACCACCTCCCAAGGCAGACTGTATTTATCTACTTGCAATTTCAAGTATTTATCTACTTGCAATTTCTTACTTTTGAACTGCTAGGTTGGCAGGAGCTGGGACCAGAGACAGGAGCTCACTCGGTCATGCGGCACTCGGGCCTCGAACTGCCAAACTACCGACCTTCCGGTCTGCAGTTCAGCGTCTTAACCACTTGAGCCACCGCAGCCCCTGTAATGTGTATATTAGCTTAAGCTATATTGGATTATTTGGTTGCATATCAGACGTTGAACCAAACAGGTCCCAGGACAGATCCTTGAGGCACTCCACTTGTCGCTCCTCTCCAAGGAGATGAAGAACCGTCCACAAGCACTTTTTGGGTGCCATCTGTCAACCCGTTAGATTTCTGTTCATTTGATCCAATCTGATAGATGACAGCAGCCAGTGTTTGGGAATCTTCAGATCTATCTGGTAATCTGGGAACAGGCTGTTTGGCCGAACTGTTGAGATGAATTAGCATGGAGAAGGCTCGGAGAAGGGCAGCAAAGATTCAGGAGGTGGCGGAGGTCCTAATTCAGTGATGGTGAACCTTTTAGAGACCGAGTGCCCAAACTGTGACCCAAAACCCACTTATTTATTGCAAAGTGCCAACATGGCAATTTAACCTGAATACTGAGGTTTTACTTTAGAAAAAACATCTCATACATTAACTTAAGATGATCCAAACAAAGTAAGGAAAGCAATCCCAAATGCTTTCATTGACTTAAAATTATTTGGCAGAGAATTCGACACTTTAATGATGGTCTGGGCCTGGCTGGGGCGATGGCACGTGTGCCCACGGAGAGGGCTCTGAGGGCCACCTCTGGCACCCGTGCCATAGGTTCGCCACCACTGCCCTAATTCCTTCCTGGGGAAAGCCACTGTGGAGAGGGAAAAGCCCTGAGAAGGGAGAGGGAGTTGGGAATGGTGGGCTGCCCTTCGACTGTGTAGTGTAGTGGTTAGGGCAAAAGACTAGAGGTTCTGCCCGTTCCGTGGAAGCTCATGGGGTGAGACTGGGCCAGTCACTTAGCTTGGAGAAACGGCGACTGAGGGGTGACATGATTGAGGTTTATAAGATTATGCATGGGAAAGAGCAGGTAGAGAAAGAGGTACTTTTCTCCCATTCTCACAATACAAGAACTCGTGGGCACTCCATGAAATTGCTGAGCGGTCGGGTTAGAACGGATAAAAGGAAGTACTTCTTCACCCAAAGAGTGATTAACACTTGGAATTCACTGCCACAGGAAGTGGTGGCGGCTACAAGCATGGACGGCTTTAAAAGGGAATTAGATAAGCATATGGAGCAGAGGTCCATCAGTGGCTATTAGCCACAAGGTATAGATGGGAACTCTGGGGCAAGTGATGCTCTGTCATCTTGGTGCTTGGGGGGGTCAACAGTGGGATGGCTTCTAATGTCCTGGCCCCACTTGTGGACCTCCTGATGGCACTGGTATTTTTGGCCACTGTGTGACACAGAGTGTTGGACTGGATGGGCCTCTGGCCTGATCCAACATTGGCATCTCTTATGTTCTTATGTTCACTCACTCTCAGCCTAGCCAACCTCACAGGTTGGTTTTTGGGACGATAGAATGTAGGGGAGTAGAAAAGTGTTGTAAGCCAGTCCAGAACAAAGCTTGGACTTGAACACAGACCTTCTTTGGGGCCTCCAGCTCTCCCTGAGGTGACTTTGGGGGCCTGGCTCAGACTTCCCTCCTCAATGCCACCACCAGAGAGATTTCCCCTTCAACAACGTTTCAGTACCATGACCGCCACTTTAGAAGACATACCTCAGGGGAAGTCTTTCCTCACTGCCAGCATCAGAAGCTACAGGGGGGCAAGGAGGGGAAAGCAGGGGTTGGGAAGATGGGAGGGGTCCCATCTGGGAGGTTTTCATTGCTCTCCCCTTCCAAGACTTGGGGGGGGGGAGAAGATATGCTTTCGAGTGGCCTGACTGGGGAGGAAGACCCTCCAGAGCTGTGCTACTCTGTGTGGCAGAACAGGCCCGCTCTGACTTACAGACCCTGTTCTGCCTGCCCCCTCCGATTCCTGGAGGGCGCTCCTCCACTTCCTGCCACTAGGGCATGCTGCCACCACCCGCTCAGTTCCGGATCCTGAAGGAGAGGAACAGGACTCTCGAGCCCTCTTCCCAGTTCTGAGGCCGGGCCTCAAGGTCTCCTGCTACCCGGCGCCTGGTTACCACAGGGACCAAATGCCACATCGGGTTTCCCCCGGAGGGTTGCAACGTGTGCCTTGACCGCTCCCCTGCCAATATGACAAATTAATAGTATATCCAAGCAGTTGGAGGACTATTTGGTACAGAAGCTTAGGGCCACATCCAATATTTAAAAAGATTTATTAAAAAGAAAGTAAGTTCAAACATACTTAATCACAACAACAGAGAGCAAGCACTCTTATTAAACCTCTGGCCCATTTTACACCACTCTTTGCACCCCTTTTGACCTTGTTCACCCAGGTCACACAGGTGGCCCTGGGACACCAAGGTGCATTCTGGGGCATGCAGGTGCATCCTGGGAGCCCTCTTGGAATGCATTCTGGGAAATTGCCAGGAGTCACTTGGAGATTCCTAACACCAAATACCTCAGTAACCTTGCAAGCTGAGTCATTTGAATAACTATGGCTGGTAATGGGCATAGAATCATAGAATGTTAGAGTTGGAAGGGACCTTGCAGGCCACCCAGTCCAACCCCCTGCATTCTGCAGGAGCAGAGCCGAAAGAGAGCCATACAACATACCCAAAAGATGGTTGTCCAGCCTCCGCTTGAAAACATCCAGCGAAGGAGCCTCCACCACCTCCTGAGGCAGACTGTTCCACTGCTCAACCACTCTGACAGTTAGGAAGTTTCTCCTGATATTTAGCCGGTAACGACTCCCTTGTCATTTCCACCCATTAGACCTAGTCTTGCAATCCGGAGCAAGAGAGAATAGATCTGCTCCATCTTCTACATGACAGCCCTTCAAAAACTTGAAGACTGCAATCATGTCCCCTGTAAGCCTTCTCTTTCCAAGGCTAAACAGACCCAACTCTTTCAGCCTCTCCTCATAAGACTTGGTTGCCCTCTTCTGGACACGCTCAAGCTTATCAACACCCTTCCTAAAATGTGGTGCCCAAAACTGGACACGGTACTCCAGGTGAGGCCTGACCATAGCAGAATGGAGCTGAACTACCACCTCCCGTGATCTGGACACGACG